GGCAACACTGAGGGTTGCGATCCGTTGCCGGACACGGAAAAAGACAAAAAAAAAAAAACCCTGGTGCAGACAGATAAAGCCCGTCTGCCAACTGGGGCCACCGCCTGGTGGCATCTGATCCAGATCAATATCCATTTTACTGACTGGTTTAGTTTTTAACTTGGGATAATCTGTATAAAACGTACTCAGTTCATGGGCCAGAAGAACGTGTTGTGAAAACATGAAATGAAGAGAAGGGACTTCTCTTGGATAGATTTTGGTAGACTATACAATACAGTAATGACAGCGGGATTCTGGAATGACCCCCTGCGGGGTGTGGGCAGCAGGCACAATGGTCTCCATTTTGCAGATGAGGAAACTGAGGCCCCAAATGGGCCAGAACATTAGTGGCACTTCCTAAGGTAGAATTTGGACCTCTGGGTGCCCCGTTCTACAGTATTTCTAAATTGGAGCTCTTTCCCAGAAAAAAAAAATTTTTTTTTTTAAAGAGGGCCAAGAAAATATCTGCCTTTCTTATAAGTAAGCAATTAGGCAGCACCTTGTCCAGGGAGGGCAGGGCCCGACTCTCCCCAGAAGCTGTGCTGTGTTGATGCAGTAATGCTGCGAAGCAAAGGTTAACGCCCCATCTCACAGACAAAGAAACTGGGCACAGAGATGCTCAGCATTTTTCCCAAGGCCACACAGCCATGGAGAGGAGGCAGGAGGACTTCAAGCCCTGTCCTTTCGGTGACCAGGACTGAGGGGTCTTCTGACTCACTCCACCCTGTGGAATTCCCAGAACTGGGGACACCAGGGAGGCTGACCTGAGTCACTACCCTGCAGACCCGTTTGGTGGCTGTTGTTTGGTGGGGTCTCTGGTGCAACTCCTGTGTCAGCAAGGGGGGCTTGGCCAGCCAGATCTCGGAGACCCAGCATCTCAGGGTGCAGGAGGGAGGGGAGGAGCAAGGGGGGTCTCCAGAGTCAGTCCCTCAAGGCTCTCACACACCTAACTTACCCCTCTTTCTCTAAAGAGGGAAGAGAGCTTATGGGGTGTCCCAAGCTGTCCTCCGAGGCCCGGGCTACCATGTTGACATAAGAGGCCCCCAGTGAAGGTCTGGATGGATGGATGAGTGGACGCAAGCCCGGGTGGTGCAGGCTTGGACGCACATCCCACGGCCCAGCGCTGCCTGCGGGGCCATGGGGGAAGCCCGCTTTGCCAGAACCTCCCTTAGAGAAGTCCCGCTGGCTGCATCTCGAGCAGAAGCACGTCACCCTGACACTGCAGGGGACCCTGATCTAGACCAGAGAGCTCGCTGGTCCTCTGATTGCCTCACTTGTCCCCCACTCCACCTCCCACTGCCTCCCAGGCCAGTGGGCAAAACACCTGCTGAGGCCGTCCTTGTCCCTCCTGCCCTTCGCCCAGCGGTCAGCCTCAGCGCCTGCTTCCCTCCCTCCATCCACTCCTCCAAGGCACTCCTGGCCTTTCTTCCTACCCAGAAAGCCATAGGGGCAAGTTTAACCTCAGGCCTAGTTTTCCTAAGGACCCTCCTACCCAAGTGCTGACCTTTGCTTACTTTCTCGTCCTTGCAGCCGGACTGCCACCTGCATCTGCACCTGCGCTGGGCAGACAACCCCTATGTCTCTGGCACCGTGCATACCAAGGACACTGCCCCTGGCCTCATCATGGGTGCAGGTAGGTGGCTGCCATCACAATCGGCTGGCAGGAGCCATCACAGCCTGAGGGAAGCTCCATTCTCAAGGATAAAAATTGACGGCCATGGGCTTGGGGTCATGATGTGTCCATTAGGGAGCAGTGACACAGCATCTCCAGGAAGCTCTGCTCTCATGGCAGACCCTGAGGGGAGAATGCATGGCCCAGGGTGGGCATATGAGATGTGTTGATTGAATGGATGGATGGGTGGACGCGTGGATGTATGGATAGATGGATGGATGGATGATGGGTGGATGGATGGATGGATGGATGGATGGATGGATGGATGGATGGATGATGGGTGGGTGGATGGATGGATGGATGGGTGGACGTGTGGATGGATGGATAGATGGATGGATGGATGATGGGTGGATGGATGGGTGGATGGATGATGGGTGGATGATGGGGTGGATGATGGATGGATAGATGGATGATGGGTGGGTGGATGGATAATGGGTGGATGGATGGGTGGGTGGATGGGTGGATGGATGATGGGTGGGTGGATGGATGGATGGATGGATGGATGGATGGAAGGATGGATGGATGGATGGATGGATGGATGATGGGTGGATGGATGGATGGATGATGGGTGGATGGATGGATGGATGGATGATGGGTGGATGGATGGATGATGGGTGGATGGATGGATGGATGGATGATGGGTGGGTGGATGGGTGGATGGATGGATGGATGATGGGTGGATGGATGGATGATGGGTGGATGGATCGATGGATGGATGATGGGTGGATGGATGGATGGATAGATGATGGATGGATGGATGATGGGTGGATGGATGGATGGGTGGGTGGATGGATGGATGGATGATGGATGGATGGATGATGGGTGGATGGATGATGGGTGGATGGATGGATGAATGATTTGTAACATGGTTAACGTTTATTGGTCCCTGAAGAAAGTTCTAGTTTAGTTGGGGGGAGAGACATGTATACAATTAGCATTTTTAAGAAAAACCAATATATTTGTGTATGCGTCTGTCTCCCCCATTAAACTACAACCTCCTTCAGAGATCATTAAGTATGTACTGATCAAATAATAGCTTAAAATAAGATTTATTTGACTTAGAAGAGTCATTCAAAGTACAAAACAGGGCCATGTGTCTAGGTCACTTGCTGATATGTGGAAGAGGCAGGATAAGCCTGTGCACTCACATGTAAATGGGGTGAGTGACAGAGAGACCATGTCTCCTGCCTCATCACAGGGTGGGAACAGCAGAGATCACAGCCCAGAGATCACAGCTTTCTGGAGCCAGAACCCTGAGCCTCTGTTTGCCCTAGCACCATCTGCAACACTCAGAGGGTGGCTGTGTGGCCGACCCCAGACTCTGAGCTGGATGCCACACCCAGCCCTTCACCATATCCCAGCAGCAGTCCCAGGCCTGGCCTAGGGTGGGCCCTCCAAGGCTCTTTATGAGTGAGTAAATGAATGAACTGGTGAATGAATGAACGGCCATGTCGAGATGGCAGGAATGGCCTTCTGAGCAGAAGAGGGCTTACACACGGGTATCCAGAATGACGGGATCAGAGCATAAGACGGGGAGGTGAAAACCCCATAAATGCTGCTGGTTTTCTGACCACAGAGACCTTGACTGTCAGGGCGAGGCGGTTTACTTTACCCTGAAGAGGGTGCAGCTTTCTAGTAGGGAGGGACACAACTGGGACAGAGAGAAGGTTGCAAATGGAACACTTGGCTGCTGAGATTCCTCTGTATCCTCTGCGCCCGGGGTCCTGTTCAATGACAGCCAATTCAAGCAGCATCTGTCTGCTTGGGACGTGTGCCGTGTGTCCCTCAGTGAAACCTCCGCATACCAGCGTCGATTTCAGTGCGGCTCGTCTGCCCACCGGCTTCCACGCATAGACAGCCTGTCCACTCGCGTTGGGCCCCCCCAATTTTGTGGACTTGGTTTGCTGGGTCTCCAGGCAACCACGTATTTAAAATACACTGTCTTGACTAGTCAAAACCCCAAATTCTTGATCTAAACAGAGAAGGCACAGTTTCAAATGCTTCCATTGCTCAAAAGCCTGGAAAGCCCAGAGCGTGCGCTCCGGCCCTGAGAGCACTCTGGCGTCACTGAACTGTTTGTGGGTCACGCAGGGAAGAGCAAGCCCCACCCGTGCCCATCGCAGCCTCCCCCTCTCTGCCTCCCGCTGTCCCCACAGGGCAGGTCTCATTTATATTTATTCGGCTGCTGCTTCATCTTGGCCCTGGCTTACCCCTGAGATGGATCCATGTGTACCACGTGGGCCAATTGGTTGTAAATTTTCTGCATCCTCCTCCAGCCCTGAGCATCTGCTGGGAGCAGTAGGGGACGGTGGATGAGCCAGGCTCCCTGGGGGCTGGAAGTCAAGGGCGCTGAGGCTGAGCAGGAGCCAGCTCCATACTGGCTGGCACGACCTACCTGGCACAGCCCGGGGCCCTGAGACTGTGTGCCCGGGGCAGCAGGGGTGGTGGCCGCATGTGGCCACAAGTTGCTCCCCTGCTCTACCTGCCATTCATTCCCATATTTGGTCCTGGAAGCAGGCGGGTGGGAGTTACAAGCCCCAGGCCCTACCGCCACCTCCCAGCTAGGACCTTGAGCATGTCAGTGGACTTCTCCGAGCCTCACTTTCCTCATCTGCAAAAGGAGAGGACAAACCTCTGCTGTAAGGACAATGTGGGGATTAGGTAGAAAGCCTCAAAGCCAGGTGTATTCCCACAAGTCGTCCTTTCATTTGGATAGTTGCTGGATACCCCCCACCCCCAGCCATGCCGGGCCCTGTGCAAGGGTCCCAGAGGTGAGGATGGATGAGGCGCAGCCCTGCCCTCAGGAAGTACAGAGGAGCAAAGGGACAGTGACCGCAGGGACAGACCCATCCTGATGCCGAGTTCCTGCAGGATGCCCCAGATGATGCCCTGGGGCTGGGGATGAGACTGTCAAGTGCACCTCTGGGAGGGCGTCCCAGACAGGAGACACTGAGGGTGCCAGGGTGTGGAGGTGGGTGGGGCAGCACCCGGTCACTGTCGCAAGGTTAAGTAGCCCCAAACACATCTGCTCGTAAGAGTCCCCTGGAGCTCCCTGGGTCACCTGGGAGTAGGACAGGGAATGTGTATCACTAACAGGCTTGGCGAGTCCTGTGGAGGCAGGAAACCACTGACGAGTGGGAAACACAGCAGTTGGGGCCGAGGGTGCCCGCTCGTCCCGAGTCTGCCTCTGACCTTTCTGAGCTCTGGTCTATGGCAGGCCCTGTGCCTCTCTGACCTTCAGTTTCATCATCAGGTGGGGATAATCCATCTGCCTGTGAGCACTGAGAGGCATGATGTGCGTGGAACCGTGCTGGGCACACAAGAGGTGCTCTGGGTGGTTGGGGACCCTTTCTCCACCCCTGTTCTTTATCTGTGTGGTTACTTTGCTTCCCGACTGATCATATGGACGTGAGTCCTCAGGACCCAACACAGAGCAGAGGCCAGCAAATGCTTCCCCG